AATTCATGTCAAACACTTGATAAACATTGTGATTTCAATAAAATTTCCATGACATACTACTTAGTAGCTACTTTTGATTTCTACCATACAATGTGATACAACTTATTTAGACTAATGTATGGGCTAATAAACTGTAAATTGTTAGTTTATCGGGCAGGTCAAGCACTTCAAAGACTAAATGTCATTTCTTCAACTATTCTACTGTAAGCATATTTCTTCTGAACTGTACTTTCTGATATCATATAAAGAATATAAGTATATTCTGAAATAAACTATACGTATGTAAATACTAGGTGATGTAAATAATTCTGGCATCATTAAACTGCCAAAAGTCTATTTTTATCACATCACAAATGTATCGATTTTGAAAGTGATTTTCATGAAAATACCTAATGCGTAATTTTTTTGTTTCCTCCTATCTAAACTGATCACGAATACAATATAACGAAGCAGTTTATGAAAGCAAAGAACAAAGGTGAAATCACATGATATATCTAAATATTTTTCTAAAATTAAGCAAATGTAACAGTTGATTAAGGCCAATAACAACAATAACAAAGAATTTGTCATTCTATACATCATGTGGTGTGCACTTCTTATGAGGACATACATAAGTAGTATGTAGCAGGAATTGGAAGTAGAATACTCACTAGCAGAAGAATGAAATAAAGAAAAGTGGAAGGAAAACGAAGAGCAATTAGAATAAACACAGTATCGAAAGAATGATAAAGTATATAAAGGACAACTAAAGGAAGGTATACAAGTGGTGTATTTAATGTATAGTTTTTATATTTTACAAAGGTACTGTTTGGTTTTCGTCGTTTACTACAATCACAGTACTAATTAGTGACTATACAAATAGTCAGTGTATGGCAACCGACACTAAGTTACATGAAAAGATGTAAAAGAGAGAGGTATGAATTCAATAAAAAGGACAATTTAAAATAAAAAGCAGCTAAGCGTTGAGATGATCTGAAAGCATTTACAGTGTTAACTAAGTTTGTTGTACCTAGCGCTTCAAGTCATTTTTTTCATTCATCTAGCAAATAATTGTCATCAAAAATCTCACTTCATGTAACTGAATTTATTCATTATGGATATGTCCAGTGTAACATATCCCAATATGGAGAGAAAAAACACAAATAAACGTTATCGCTCAAAATGAAATGTTTTATGAAAGTCACATTTCAATATGCAATGCCCATTTACAAAATGGATAGGAAAATAATCGAAATTGCTGGATACAACAGAGGGAACAGTATTTAATATGTTACATATAACCTAAGTAGGATTATTATCATATCTTTATATGATCATCATGCCATCAACATGGGAGTTAATTATTCACAAAATCATCGAAATAGGTATAACTAACAACTCATGCTAATGATCGGTTATTAGTGTGTTTGAGAACAATCAAATAACATCTCATTTATTCATTTTTATAATCCTTCTATGAAGCTTTATATTCTTCCCTTGTGTATATGTTTTTAGACGACACACTTCATTTCTTTATATTATCGTCACTACTGAAAATCTTCGAGTTAAGCACTGGACAAATAAGAACTTTAATGATAAATCGAAATCATACTCCATTCAATTAACTGATAAATTGTTCCATGTACAGATTTATATAGTCCAGACTGTAATAAAATCAAATGTCTGTTCGAAAATTGACATTTTGAATAGACAAAATTGTATTTGTTTTAATTCACTTAATGAATGGGGAATATTTCATTCTTCGTAGGGCGAGAAACATTTTTGTCGAAATATTAACTCAGACCATTATTATTCTTATCAAAAATTAAAAACAATAAAAGCCTGTCTTTAACAACCAGAATAGATCAAACATTAATGGATGGTTGGAACTAGTCGACAGGAAAAGCTGCTTGATTTAGGTTTCGTGCTATTCAGCACTCCCCAGCTAGGAGTACCTGCGTTGTCGGGGGAATCGATGCTACTTGGTAGATTCACATCTTTGTACCACTAAATTTTATAGTCTGAAACACCAACATGGTGTAGAAATGAGGTATGTACAACTGATTGATCACTGGGTAGTAACCAGTATCATTTTTATCTAACCTTTTACTGTTGGCTAGATCTTATTCATAAAGTTTTAATGTGGCGACTAAACCAAGTGACTCCAAGTCGTGTTCACTATGTTTGCTGTTAGGTGGTTGGAGGTAATCAGCCACACTGAAGTTTGATCGGGGGAATTCGATCAGTAGCAAACAAGCATGACAAATATTACATTAGTTACTTTTGAATGAGCAATCAATTGTTAATCAAAAATTACACTAATTATATACTCATACGCCACAGTCTAAAAATAATGGGCTTTTTTAGTCTATATAATAATGCATACAATATATATTCTCAATAATTGAAATAAAGTTGCGATTGAAAGAATGAATAATTTATCTTAGTTTCTCGTTTCAGAATAAATAACTTCACCTGTAGCTCTTCTAGGGTTACTGCAGGTTCCAAGCCCAAGTAAAAGAGGAGGGTTGAGTATGGGGTCAGCAACCCCATCACGTAGAAAACAACCTTGCTAAAAAACGCTCAGACTACATACTGACTTTTTTCATTAACCATCTATATACAAGTTTATTTCAATCGATTCCATTCAAATATGAGGTCCAGTTTCATGATAAAAATCATTACAACTGAACAAAATAACTCACCAACACTGTAGAAGAATATATAATTTCTACATGTAGAGTAAACATGAACTAGTCAACTTGGCGATGTAGTAATTCCTGATACAAGCAAATGTAAAATAATAATAAGAATAAGAATAATAGGGATAGATAAATTAATTCTTCTTTAAAATGTAGATTATTTAATTTTAAGAAAATTACTTAACTAACTTAAACTTAGAATTTAATTGAATGAATATGGAAAAGAAGGGGTTTTGTGGAGATTTTAGTATTTTCATAGCTGAAATCATTAGTCAATTGAAGATGGACCACCATGGAAAACCTGGAAGCACTGGACGGTCATTTCGAATGCACACTGCTGAGGAGTCCCATACTAGGACGAAACGGCTGTCCAGTGCTTCCAGGTTTTCCATGGTGGTCTAGCTTCAATTGATTCATGATTTCAAATATGAATATGGAAAAGTTGCTCAATTCTATTCAAATTAAACTTTTAAAAAGAATCAGTTTCAAGAATAAAAAGTGAAGGGGTTCTGGGTTAATTAGTTTGAGCCAAGTGAAGTGACATTGAAAAACGATTACATTTTTATGGTTTGTTTACTGCTAACGATCACTCACTATTAAGGTAAACGGATAGAATGCTAAACTGAATCATATCAGAAGTTAAATTGTTAACGCCAACAATCGCTATGAGTAATTTTAAAATGTTAAAATAGTACTTTTTTTAAAGTCAAAAACGAACTCTTTAATTGAAATACCAGGAACAAAACATTCAGACAGTCATACTGTTCAGCTTACTACCAACAATCTTAAATGAATATTTATCAACTAATATGAACTTTAGTTGACGAAGTTTTGTGGAAATTGATTCAACTTATAGGTCATGCCATTGAAAAATAGGGAGCACTAAACAGTTGTTTCGTACTAATATGAGATTTTAGTAAACATCAATTCTGGGATGCAGGTACATCTAGCCAAAGACGAGTTCCAAATAAGATGAAACATTCATCCTGGATTTCACTGCTTGCCACCATCCATCTCTTCTAATAATGTTTTTTTTTAAACTATAAATCGAGTTATTAATTAATATTTGTCTGTATAAGAAACCGGTTAAGTAAAGGTGCTACTCGAATTCATGGGATAATGATAATTGATCATGACAGTTACCATTTATTTTAATACAAAGAGAGTACAATACAATTCTAACACTAAGTGCATAACTAACTGAAAGACAACTAGCTTACATACTTAGTAACTGATGTCATTAATTTCTATATAGTTAACCTTAGATGAACATAATAAATTTAAGTTACAATTCAAATGTTGTTACTAACAGAGTAACCACTTGCTAAGTGAACTTTATTGTAATTAAAATATTAAATTGATTTATGAAACTAAATTGAATTTATTGGAAATAAGGTGAGTTGCTATTTTTTTTTAATAATCTATGACTGATGACTGCTTAAAGTACATTTACAAGACAGAAAGACTTTTAAAACGTCAATATTAATAATAAGTACAAAATAAGATCAAAAAAAGATCATTAAAATAGATGAACGATTACATTAAAAAGTATAATCACTGGGATAACTTTGAAGAATAGGTTACTCAATGACTTTGTGCCCCTATATAGATGAATTCCTAACTAAATAAATGATGGTTCATGTTTTTTAATGTTTCCAGTTGTTTTCTTCATTTAAACAATGAGTGATTGTTATTTATTGAAGTGTAATTTACATTACCAATTTCATTTCAAGCTTCTGAAGGTATTCAAAAACTAAGTACAATGAACATTTCAGTGTAGTACGGCGTGACATGACGTATGTAAAGCATAAATACAGTTAAAGTTAGGGCTGGAAATGAAACATTAAAAATGAAAATTGTACTTTTATGTGTAGCAGCTTATCGTTAAATGAAGGGGAAAATGTTCCAAAGTTCTAGATACAACAAAGTTATTGAACAATGAAAATGTTGAGGATAAATCCATGCAGAATAAATGGAACACTTTATTTGAATAGTCACAAACTGAACTTTGGAAGTCCAGTTGCCTAAATATCACATGCCATGCATTAGATATTAAATAGTAAAAGAAGTTAAGATTATCCATTATAGAGAAGTTCCAAACTAATGGTGACACATACCTATTGATGTTTGTCACTGCACTAACTTTTTTCAAATGATACCAGAGCGTTGCAAGATAAACAACTAATGAACTCATAATAATTACGTAACTTAAAACATTGATTTTTATTCGTCTGTTAAAGATAAGTTTAAAAAGCAACACTTACTAAAACAAAGTTTGATGATAAACAGTAAAATACAAAACAAGAAAATTAAACTTACCGAATAGAATCTTTATCAATAGCTGGTGATAAATGCTCAAAAACAACTTCTGTAATATCCGATGCATTGAAACGTGGTCTAATACGTCTACATATAAGTGCACGATCCAGAAATACTGTAAGTTGTGACATTTGACATTCAAACATATTATATACTTGTCGAGATCTATCCAAACCACCACCAACTAAAGTTCCGCTTTTGCTAGGACCACCACCAGCACTTCCACTGCTGTTAGCACCAACACCTCCATTTGTTCCTCCATCAATAGGATTTTGACCAGTTTTAGGATAAATAGTAGAACCTTTCTGTTGACCCGCTACTGTTCCAGATCCAACTGGAGGACCACTAACATTTCCGCCTGCAGGAACTACCACAGAATTAGTCGATGTTATATTTCTAGCGAAGTGATGTGTGCCACCTGTAGTTATTGTATTTGTTTGATGATGTGATGAATATTGATCACTTAATACATCACCAGTTTGTGGATTTAAAACTAACATTTCTTGTTGTTTAATCAAACCAGCTTGATGATGCATAATGTATTGTTCAGGTCGTAGTGGTTGAAGGGAACCAGTCACGCTGTTTCGTCAATTTAAAAAAAAAATAAATAAAAGTTATTTGCTAAATAATGGTACACAAAAATTTTAATGGCTTTTTATGAGTAAGAAACGTGTGTATTCTTGAAATTCCAATGTAAATTAAAGAAAGAATTCAAATGATTCGTAGAAATAGTCATTCATAAAACATCTTGATCTAGTCGCAAGCACAACAGCGACAACGATCCATTTTAAATATGAAATCGACGTTAACTAATAACAGAATATAAAATTAAGAACATTTAAAAACAAGACACACGAGAAAGTCATGTGACAGACTTATTTTATAACCAATAGTAACAGATTGTGTGGCACACTACATATCAGTAGGCGTGTAAACAACACACATACGAATCTACACAACCACTGTATTATGTTTTATTTGGCTACTGCTGACCAAATTAAAGTAAAAGCCTTCATTTACATATCACAAATACTACTTAATAACAAATGCAACAGTAAAATACAATAATGAGTCTGATGTATGAAACTTTCAATAATGGTTGCAAAAGACTATGATTGACAACAACTATGATTGACAGTAGTAGCAGTAATGATATAAGTCCTGTCACAGCGGTCTTTGAAACTCTACATCATGATGAAGTAATCAATCATCATTTTTAAGACCGGTTACCGTCTCATAATATTCAATCGTTTTATTGTAGGGATTTAAGTAATTTAGTTCAAACGGTTATAGACATGAAAAATAAGCAAAGATCATAATATAATTTTTGATTCTTGTAACGCGTTCTTATGTATTGATAAATCTTAAGTCATCGTTCTACACGTGGCTAGTCTGCCCCATATTAGGCTATTTTATCCTTCATTTCATCTTTCCGTTTCAAAAATAAATCTTAATACTTCATATTTGAATTGTCCCCATTTTCGTCATGAATTGATATTAAACAGGCAAACATTTAAAATTGGAAACAGTCGGTACGTTTAATCTTAATTTTATTTAAATAATTTGGAACGCTGTAATTCATGGCAAAAAAAAGTTTGTATCATGACCACTGATTGATGTTCCGCTAGATGAAACTTTCAACTAAAATCGATTTGTAAGAAAGAGCTAAGTGTTTACTCTGAGGCCTATAAGTTACAGGCTTAATTCCAATGATCAAGAATTATAAGGTTGTCTTTTCTTAAAAACATATTCCAAACGGGACTAAAATGTTATTTGATAGCCCCTGATACTTTTTAGCAGTTTTAAACAGAGGTAGAAATATGCTAACAATCAGTAATACAGTTTTACTTTGATTTTAAACTGTTGTCTTAATACTTCAACAACTATTACCAATTATTCTCCCCCTCCCCTTGTTTTCCTAAACTATCCTTTCTTATCAGCATATCACAGGCATTTATTTCCATTTTCTTTACCTCTATCAAATTGTAGTTGGAAGTAATTTATACATAGAGGAATGTACATTATTAAAAATAACTTAAAAACTAGTAGGAAGTAAAAATGATTGAACGACTGTTTCATCTTCGTTCCGGAATTTTCAGAAATATGCTTTCTAATGTTGTATTAAATAAACAACTTTTCGATAATTCAATCTGAATTTAGTGATCTAAATTTTTAATTGCCGCCAACTAGCTTTATAACGTGATCTTCATTGAAACCAGGAGGAAATAGCTTTACATATTTCAATAGTTTCAGGTACTATCTATTAGTTATAACGGAAAGAAGCAAACTTTCTATAAACCTACCCTATGTAAAGAATAGTGATAAACATTAGGTTATAGATAGAAAACTTCAAAATGAATTTCTCTTAATGCTACCAGAAAATCATGGATGTATGGTCATGAGTTAAGCAGCAACTCCAACTGATAACAATGAATCAAGATCATGTTGTACTATGAAACAGATCAACACATATAAGCAAACTATAATGTTTTCAGCTAGATCTTCATCAGGCTTTAATTATGTAATAATACTTATATGAGTATATGAAGAATAATAAAACGAAAGCAATCTGTGTGAATGATAACAATAAAAAAGTATTACATAACCAGTCCTGACAGGTAAAAATACAAATCGATATTGAAATGACAGGTGTATTGGTAGTGATAAGTATAATAAACAGCATGATAACGGTAACAGGTATATTGACACAAGAAGTAGGCCAAAGCTTGAAAGAATAAATTCATCAAACTAGTCATATGAAGCTCAGTAATGGGAAATGTTTGGATAGTTATTTAAAGTACGTAGATAGTAAAGAAAACAAGGGAAACAAATAATGGATAGAAAGAATTAACAACAACATCTGTTAGTTCTTGTCTGACCAAGTAAAGAACAGGAAAGTAGCATAAATGGCCTAAATCCCTGTGACTTCCGCTCCATGTACGGGATGAAGACAGAACCCAAGCGGAAACGTTTGCAAACATTTGATAAATCACTGTAAGTGTTTTCGTTCTGTCTTTTACATAACCACTATTGAGTATGTTTGACGGAGTTAATCGCTTTTGAAAATATATGGCTTTGGACTATCCCCCTGATACAGTAGGCCGATCAGACATCAGACAAATAATCAGTTCGCTTGACTAGCCAACATGCTGCTTCCTTTTCTAAAGAATGGAACATCATATTGACGGAAAAATGTGACTTAAGATTTTATTGATTAGGCAGGCCTATAAAAAGTTCCCCACTCAAGTAGTCAGTTGAGCTTGTAAATAAAGGACTTGTTTATCACTATCTGATATTGTACAGAACAACGTATTCAATAATTGGGAGTAATATTAATAACTATTGGTTATGTGTACTAAGTGCAGTCGAGATTCCCATTCAATGCTCTCAAAAACAATAGTTGCTTCATATATTGATATTCATGATTAAATTCTCTGAATGTACATTTAACCATGTAATATGTGCACATAAATAACGACCGTGTACTTCCGACTGTTGAGTTATTACTTATCAACCTAAATCTTTGACTTATTACTCTCTTGATGAGCTGTTATAATGATGGAGTAAAGCGTCATCATCACATGAGATTGGTGGTGTTGTTATCATCAGTTTATGTTCAAATAGACAAACAAAATAGTTCCATTCTACTTCAAGTTGGTTATTTGGAATTAAGCAGACAGATAGATTTGAGAATAATTACCTTTTAACTATCAGTCGGAAACAACCGTAAAAAACTTGGAAAACTAACAACATTAGTATTTAATTCATTTTGCATTGTTAGTCTGAATCTTACCATTGATGTCTAGATATGCAACTGATCAGTCTCTTATTGTCATATGTGCGTATTGCCTCGATATTGCCTTAAATCACAGGCATTAAAAGCAAAGATGTATGGTGGTTAGCAGTGAAATCCAGGACACGCGTTTCGTCCTACTTGGAATGGCAATGGGTTTGAGTCTCGGAGTGAACACCAACTGTGGGATGCAGGTACATGTCGCTGAGGTGTCCCAAATAGAACGAAACGTGAGTCCTGGATTCCTGTACTAGCCACCATCCATCTCTGCTTAAGAAATTAGGATTTGTTATAGTTTTCATCATAGACTAATCCTAACTGACTAACCTGTGAAATGAGTAACATTAACTTTTTAAAAAATTACAAAGTTCTAGAGAGAAGTTGTGACAAACAAAGTTCAAGAATTCACTGAAACTAAAAATGTAAACTGTGAAACCTGTAGGTGATAAAGATTTCTAATTTAGTTTCCATGCTTTCTTGTACTAAGTTCTTATCCTTAGTGAAACTTGACTCAGAATGTAAATGGTTCTCATAATCAAGCACATGAACATCTCTGTTCAAAAGACACATTGGTAGACTAAACATCTTATGAATAGAATCTACTCAATTTCTATTGAAAGCTATTTCCAGATTAATCCATTTTGCAAGAGAATTAACTGAACCTAATCACAGTATAATTTCGACAATCAGTTAAATTCATTGTCATAAAACTGATTAATTTAAAAAGCATTTACCACTGTTTGCTTTCTGACCCAGCCAAATCTAAATAATCTACTCATTGTGAAACCTAAAGTCCATTTTACACGTTTTCAGTGCGTTGTTTTCTGTTAAATCCCAACAACATAGAATAAACTCATTATTAATTACTTTCCAAGTGTGTTTACTAAATATTATTGTTGATGACGGTTCATAACGAAAACATAACAGTCAGTTGGTCAATTATAAAACTAATGAATTTCGGAAAATCATTAACTTGACAGTACTTACTTAAGGCAAGTAAGTAAGTAAGTAATAGCGCTTTCGTCAGTAAATCTATGTAGAATACAAACGATAAGATTTTACCTAAATATAAGACAATGTTAACTATCTAATCACCAAAAAATCATTATCTTTTCAATTCACAAGAATGACTATGAATATGTAATATACTGAGAATACGCAAAGGTATATATTGAGATGGTGAAGATTTGTAGCTCAGGCGGATGAGAACAAAACTTCATCAAAAATAAAGGTATATATCACTTATAGTCGTTTTGCGAACAACTTTTCCTTTACTACAGAGTAGACGACTTATTGATATTGATTCTTTAAAAAGATGAATGGTTATCCTTCCAGCAATTTTTATAAGCAAAGACGGATAACGGCTAGTAGTGGAATCAATGAAGCATGTTTCGTCCTATTTCGGAATCGTCAGCTAGATTCACCTGCATCCCATAGTTGATCTTCACTCCGGGACTCAAATCCAGTACCGTTCGCTTCGGACGCCACATCACGATATCTACTTAATTACTGAGTCCAGATAGCCACCAGTTCAAACAAACGATGCAAAAATGAATTAAGACTTGTGCAATAGTTACACAATTTTTGTTGCTGGTGTACACATATGATAACGACAATTATGACATTAGGTACTAGTGAATTTTTCCAAAAGGGAATTTACATAGTGATGTTTGGATTATGCATGTTTTATACCTTTATATAGTAAGTATCAATGCCAAGCGTGTACTTGATAGTTCCAAATAAATCGAGCATTGTTATGTCCTAATGAGTATAAAACTGTATTTCTGACGTTTTGTGTTTTATTTCAAGTCACTTCTTCAGAGTAAATAAATAACTTATGCTAATGAGTTCAGATAGTCACTAGCTTGTGCAATAAGGTGTCTATAGTGCTTTTGACTTAAGGCAATATCGAGGAGATCCAAACAGGAAGCACACATAAGAGACTGATCAGTCACAGTTCTAGACATCATTGGGAAGATTCAAATAAGCAATACGAAAATGAATTGAGTAAAGAAAAGTGTTCGTAGATCGGTCAGTTTTGAAGAATACGTGAAAAGACGTTATATACACTAGTAAAAATTCCTCACAGTACTTTAGTGTGCAAAATGTCAAAGAAATAGTTCTTATTTTAAGAAATCTATTGTAAAATGTTGGTTATAATGTACGGGGTAAAACGTTGATGAGAAAATAACTACCAAAATAGTTCTATATTTTCGATGTAGAGGCTATTTGGAGATTATTTTAATTTGTAGATGGTATTCGTCATAAACTCTCTCTACAGTTCGAGTCCAGTTGGGAAACGGAGAGCATTTAACGGATATTTTGTTTGAATTAGAATCCCCAGGAGTGTGTATCCACTATGGAACTATGGAACAGCTAGAGAATTTCTTAAGTCTGAGATTTAGATAAAATGTTTATAAATTGTTATGTACAGCAAGAGTGAATGTATGGTTTCTATGAGGTTCGACCTAAGAGAATCTCTTTCCAGGTGAAAACGTTCAAATTAACCACTCAGAAAACAATGGCTTTCAAATTATGTCAGCCAATCAAATCATAGTAACGTTCAGTTGTTCATTCAGACAGTAAATGTATTCTAGATAATCAATTTAGGCAAAAGTAATTAATCTACCATTTTTTCTCCACCTCCACAGAAAATAATTGTCAAAAACATTGTCTGATCAGAATTAATTCACATTTGCGCGTAAAACGTTAATCAATTAAGCTGAATTTGAGCTAAATCACTAGTTTTAAGTAATCATCAAAAATGTAGTTGTTTCAGTCTATTAAGAAGCTGAACTGTAGATACTATTCTGAAAGTTCTCCAGTAAAATTACCAACTTACAGAGAAAGATAATATGATGCAATTAGTAAAATATAAATCAATTTTATAATTGTCGATTACCAAATGTTAATATTTTAGCATTTGCTTTATACTTGTAAATCCCAACAGAATGAGTTTATCATTTCAAATCAACCGATTAAGTTCGGTTAGCATTATGATAAATAGGCACCTGCAATAGATATAGTCATTCCACTTCTAAATTATATAAACAACTCAATCCAGTATCCCCGTGTTGATAAGTCTTTACAAAGGCGAAACTTCAATGTGAAGGAAAACTTAATAACCATATCGTAAACAACGTCTAATTTTTGCTGCCAAAACGTCAGTCAGATGAGTGAAAAAGTAGATTAAGATGTCTCTCTCTCGTATGCTACTACACACTGGAAACAAACTCATAGTAGACAACTTAACAGAAGTAAAGTACATGGGCAAACCAATCAGATTTCAGTCAGTGTTTCTTGACTTTCGGCGGAAAATTTATACAGTCATATGGCTACAAAATATTCTTGCATTATAGCTGGTGTCAGTTCGTGATAAAAACCGGGATAATTCACGTATGATGGCTCATCATTCATGTCAAATCTGCTTATCGGTTGTAATAATTTTATTATTTTTTACTAAGAATCGTTTCATAATCAAATATTCTTTTCTGATTGCCTTGTAGATCACTCAAAACCATCCATACACTTTACATCCATCTCTAACTTGACCTTGGAAACAAACTTATGAAAAGAATTCGTTTAAGAATAATTAAAAACGAGACGACACTATGACTCACTTCTTTTTCTCTAAATCTTCTTTGATTTGATTAAAAGATAATTTTTGTTGATTTTCAACATTTTGAATATTTAAACATTCCATATTTTGTTCAGGGATCAGTTCATTTTTGCCATGTTCATTTTTCAAAATGTCTTGATCCAATTCTTGTTCTGAATGCGATGGACACGTAGAATCGTGATAACTTTCTTCTGTTTTCATATTAGTATACTCTGATCGATCATCGTTAGTGGGAATATCTTCATTACTATTATTATTTCCACTAATATTTTCTTTAATATCACCTGGTAAATATTCATCTTCGCCACCATTTAATCTGGTTTGATATTCATCATGATTCAGATGATTTAAATGTCCGAAAGAACTTTGAGATGGCGTATTGTCAATTTCATACGATGGATATGAAATGTATGATTCTCTATTGATTTCCGATTGATCAGCCGTAATATCAGATACACCAACTGTGGTACTCATTGATGTATCACAATTTAAAGTGTTCAGTGTTAATTCTTTTAAATTATCGTTATTGTTACTAGTATTTGTAGTATTATTTACAGATTCACTTAAAGAATCAATCGACAAAGTATGTTTTGATGGTACAACTTCACTAGATGCAAACGAATTTCGATAATTAGTATCTGTCAAGTGATTTGGTGAGTCGGTTAGTATTGATGATGTTACAGACTGTACGAACAAAGCGCTAGAATGTGTTTCGTCTAGTAGTTCAGCGTCAACTGTAGAACTAATATTTCTTCCGTGCTCGTCTACTACTACGACTTCTTCTTCTTCTGGACAAAATTCAGTAGATGTTAAAGAATTCGAGATTTCAACAGATGGTAGTAAAATTTGAAAATTTTCTGATTTACCAGGAACGTTTGTTGCTTTCTCAGTGTAAACCGGGTTAGTTATTTCTTCGTCAAGATCAGAAGATTTATCAATTTGTTTGTCACTGGTAGATAATGTAGGGGATTCTTTCTCTACGTAAGATGGTTCGGTTGCCTCGTTTTCAGGATTCAATGAACTGATTGATTCTTCTTGAAAGTCAAGCGATTCTGTTGATTCTTTTTCAGTGTTTGTTTTGCCTTTTAGTTCAAATATACTAGTGACGTCGTTCTGTTGGTCAACTTGAACCTCTATATCAATATTTTTTTCTAAGTAGTCAACGGATTGACTATTCAATTGTTCTTCAGTAGGCTCTTCTAGTGAATTTTCAGCGTCTTCTTCTGTAAAGTTCTTTGTAGATAGAATGGGATCTGAATAAAGATTAGTTGGTTCGACTAAGTAATGATCACTTATTGTATCTAAAGTTTCACCCACAATTTGTCCGATTTTAATATCTGTACAGTATTCAGGTATCGCTTGTGGTTGGTTATTTGACGATGATTCGGATTTGATACAATTTTCTGGAATTGCTGAATGTGTCAAAGGAAATGGTGATAATTCCTCAGTATCCTCTTTATGTAACTCTTCACAAACTGAAATCGGAGGTGATGGAAGGTCGTTGTCGAATACTAAGGCTCCTTCGTCATCAACTATATCCAATTGTTGATAACAAGTAACTTTATCCAACCCAAATTCTTGTTCTTTCGAGGAGTAATCAGCGTGATCTTCCTCAAGGAACTCACCTGACTCTACTAACACGATATCACTTTTGTCACAATCTTGACTGGTAATTATTTGTTCTACTTTTTCAGTAGCTAAAGGTGGGGGTTGATCGCTTAATTTATATACCACTTTCTTATGGTCAACTGACCCGTTTTCTGTTAGCTGAACAGTTGTGACCTCCACGATTGTAAATCAAACAAACGACTGTTTATTTAATAAGTATAGGGAAATATATTTGATGGTGAAAAGACGATCACAAAACAGTATATATAGTTCAATGGTACTAGAGTTCAATAGTGAAGCGATGACGAAGTAATGATATTGCCTAGTGTCATATGATCTTTAAAAGTAAGAAAAAAATAAAGAAACGTTATGATGAACTAAACAATGATAAACTTGAAAAAAAATAATCTGATTCAACATAGAGAATAGCTTTATATTGATTCTCTTAACTATAAGGAAGTGGATTAGCAGATTTCAACGACACAATTACAGGTTCAGAAGATTTACCTGTGTTTTTATGTAGGCAGCCGGATGATATTTTAAAAGGTTTGCAATTACTTGTGACTGCATGCCTGAAAATTCAGTTAAACAGATCTAATTAACTCTAAGAAAATGGGTTAAATCCTCTTGGAACCTCTTTGAAAGTACTATCGATCGGTTGAGTGTAGAAAAGAACCTTTCTATAAAATTGCTAACCAGAGAAGATCAGTCAAACATCACTAAAGGAATTGAAGCTTCTTCATATAGAACAGTTATGGTGCATAATGGTGAAAGCTGAGAACCTTTGGTAATAACAAGGACGATACTTCTGACAATAGAGGCAACAATAAACATAGGGATATGGAATGTCCGGAAAATCCGGGAAACAGATGAGATCATTTGAATAGCACTGAAAGTGAGAATATACAACATAGCCATGCTCGGAATAGGTGGGACCCAGTAACGAACAAGAAATCCAAATCAATCGTTGAGGTTGAAGAATATCAGAACAGGTGGGTAGGACATTTTGAAGAGCTCCTGAATACATCAGGCCCACCGAGTACCGAGGCAAAATATACAGACCTCCCTACCATACCAACAATAGGAAAAATTAGCAAGGCTATCAGACAAATCAAGGATGGCAAAGCAACATGACCAAACACCATAACACACGAAACAATAAAGTCAGATACAGAGGCAATTACAAAGATGTTACACATTCTATTCAGAAAGATTTGAGAAGAAGAACAGGTACCAACAGACTGGAAAGAAGGATATTTCATCAATATAATAAAAGATCTTATTTAGTGTAAGAACTGCAGGGAAATCTTACCGCTATCAGTACCACAAAAAAATTCCAACACAGTGTAATTGAGCTGAACCAAAGATTCAGAAGACTCCCAACTTTGAAATCGACGGGCTGGATTTCGTAAGGACTGATCATGCATCGACTAAATCAAGGCACTATGGATTATTGTTGGATAATCAGTTGAAAGAAATTCACCATTATACGTCAACTTACCTGGCTATGCCAAATTATTAGACAATATGGATGGGAAAACCACACGGAATCCTCTGTGACACCGTGGAGTGCCTGGAAAGATCGTCACCATCATACAGAACTCCTCGAAGGGACTGTGTCTCAAATTTGTCCATGAAGACCAGTTCACAGATGCATTCCATGTGATGACTGGTGTCAGACAAACCTGCCTCCTCTCTTTCTCCTGACTGTTAACTGGGTTATGAATATAGTAAACACCTTAGATACTGCTGGGTGATTTGGACTTTGCTTATGACTAAACCCTTACATCACACAAAGAGAAACAAATGCAGACAAAGGCAGCCAGTTTAAACTGGCTTCCTCCCGAAATATGTTTTAACATTCACACATGGAAAAAGTAAGATCCTGAAATGCAACACAATGAACACTAACCAAGTCACACTTGATCCTGAAGCTCTGGAAGAAGTGGAAGCTTCTGCATACCTGGGTGGTATGATCAATAGACAATGGGAATTCAGTGAATATTTCAAGGAACGAATTGGCAAAGCAAGAACAGCATTCCTACGGGTGAAGAATATTCTGAACTCAAAACGACTGTCATCCACGACCTAAGTCGAAATTCCGAAACAAACATTAAAACAGTTCTGTTGTCCGAAGCTGAAACTTGGAAAACTATTTGTAAACAGATACCTTTATAGATATTCCAGATCCATTGACCAGAGACTATCAGCAGTAACCTATTGTGGCAGAGAAGAAGTCAGCCGCCGATCATTTCAGTCATATTCTAAGTGCACATTTTTTGTGACATCAATCGTTAGGAGGGGACATTTTATTCCATAACTTCTAAAAATATATTATTTCACTAATTTAGTAATATTGAAAATCTATTTTATATTCAGCGGAGGGGATATTGTAAAATAGTAAAAGAGAAAACAAGTTTTTATATTATTGAACTAAATGTTTACTATTCTATCTTGTAATCAAAATAACAGTAGTCATATACTTTGGGTGTGGTCATTACACACTGATCTGTTATTTAAGTTCTATCAGTACCTAATGACCTTTAGTCATTATTATATTTATTTATGCTTTGACAAATAATTTCTATCTATAACTGCAACTCGCCTGTTGGGTTTACGTTGAAATGTGTTTAATATCACTAGTCATTTTTTTCAGACACCTCCAACAACTATCGAGAAATGAAGAAAAAAACACTACTATTTTAAACCTGTCAAGGACAACATGAACTATAGCTGGTTATAGTTATTGTTTTTGATGAACACCTTATGCACGAGTTGACATGATACGATCAAAGATTAAATTTCACATCCAGGGACACGTGTTCACTAGATATTTAATGAATCCTGATTGTGATTTAAACACAAGGGATTTTGCGAAGATTGGTTTAATTTGTAGGTTGTGTTGGTTACAGATTGATTTCAGTTGGAATGCTGCTAAAAACGAGGAAATACTGGGTAGCTGTTTCCGCCCAATGTAGGACATCTCGGCCATACTCGCACATGACCCTACCAGGAGTCGAATTCAGGACCAGTTGGTCTCGCAGCAAACTATTAATAACTAAGGTCACTGGGTCGGTGTTCAATGATACCATTCCAATTTCAATCAGTTTGTGATACACTGAGACGACATCCAATACCACTGACGGCGACTGCTCCACTTTTGTGTGATAGGGCAGTTCTTATGGGGGCGATTGAAGTACCTAATGCGACTAGTGATTAGTTCGCCGAGATCACCTGCATAGGACCAGTGCCCTTTCTGAGACTCAAATGACGGAGAAATAACGACTGAGATCAATAATTAACACTTATTTGTCCGGGACGGAGTTTCTCTTGCTTACCCGATAGCCAGAATAGAATAACAATACAGGAGGCAAACAAACTTCTGTTGTACAGTCCAGTTCACTAAACAGACTTGTGTGATAGTATAAATTAATTTTTGATTGTGTACCAACACAAATAAGAAATTATAAATATAGTCATAATTATACCATAAATTTAAATAAAACCAGAACAAACATGGATGTAGAATATGAATTCATTATATTTTGGGGTTTATCATCAGCTGCTTACAAACATTTATGTATTGAAAGTTTACATTGAGGCAAGATATAGTGTGAACAATTAACATAAATGAATGAAAAGAATTAGGATGACAAAGGTTAACGGTAATAACTGTATATATATGTGCAAGAACAGGTCGGAGGTCATTTGATATTAGGATCCAAAAAACTATAAGGGGTAGGTGATGCATTAATTAGGTGAGGTTCAGAGACAGCTAAGATAAATTGTGTGATAACTTTAGAGGTATTTACATTTAACGTTTTTTTCAGAACACCGATTCAAAATATTCAGCAACTAAACACATGCAATCCAACATAATATTAAGTAAATGATGAGTGACTACTGATTTAATTAAAAGTAGCCTCATCAACTTACGACGAAAATGACAAGGTCCGTAATATCAACTTACCGGTGTAGTTTCAATATATCATAGAGGTTATAAACATACTTCTAGTAACTAATTAGTCTCACACACAACAAAAGAGGATTAAACCCGAGTTGATGTAAGACATTAAGTAGGAATAATATATTTGTAAAATCTCAGCGAATGAATTTGAAGTAAATTCAACGTTTCGCTTGGCAATCTGGTCCAAGCTTTTTCAAAGAAAGATTTCCTTTATGCGCGGCACTTCTTATTCAGGAAACCTTGTTACATAGCCTATACCCACGTTTTCTTTTAAATCATACAGTATCAAAGATTATCGTACTAGTATGACCTATATTACTATAAGTCTCTTAGACAGAATGAAGAAAATTACTAACTTATACTTTCATATTTTAATGCTTATCGGAATCTAATACACTATATTGATATTTATTTCTCTATAATAATAATACTATCTGCATGACTAATATGTCATTTTACAGATCATTGCAATAGTCAGAAACGAAGATTTCTTCCTCTATTACAATATATCTTATGTGGAATAACGGCAAGTCTAGCATACTATATAAGTTAATTGAAGAGATTTTCAGCGAATGAATTTCCCTGAATCTTTGAATAAGCACTGAAAAACTGTTTTGTTCTAGTATGGGACTCCTCAGTAGTAAGCAGCCACAACCCAAACCGTGGTTGAAATCAGGAACTTCAAGCCTTGTATTGAGAGATTATTCTTCAGACTACTAAGCTGACATTCAAAAGTTTACATGTATAAATTCACTAGATTCAAGATATAGCAGGATCATCATCTATTGTCATTGATAATATTTATCTCAAGCTCAGCCTGATTAAATTACATTGTTTACGATTTTACATTGGGAATCAGGAATTAACCTCCACAAGTTCTCCTCTAGTGAGCAAATGATGGGTTTTTAACATAAATAGTTTTTGCAATTGCTGAGTTTCTTTTAACACCATAAACCAAATTCAGTCAAACCGAAATCAATCCATCACCTGAATCTCAACAACTAACTAACATCAGCTAATGCGGCATTTAAAATCAGACCAGTACTAAACAAGTACTATGATAAATAGCTTAAAACATAATAACTATAAAGTCAGTGTAGTGTACAACCTACAACACTAGTCGAGATCAAATCCACAAGTATTTAAATCTTGTAATGGGAGTATTTTTCACTGAGCCCGGTGAGCTGTAATTCATTGGTTTATTATACAGCTCTAACGCGTATTCACTTAGTATTGTTTTGTTTGAATCTTCCCATCGATTTGTTAGGACTGCAACTGGTCAGTCTCTTATTGGCCATATGTGCATACTGTGCGTATTGCCTCGATATAGCCTTATTTCACAAGCATTGTAAACAAAGATGGATAGTGGCTAGCAGTAGAATCCAGGACGCGCATTTCGTCCTGGTACTGGGTTGGAGTCCCAGGGTGAACATCAACTCTGAGATACATGTACATCCAGCTGACGAGTCCCAAATAGGACGAAATGCACGTCCTAGATTCCACTGCTAGCCACTATCCATCTAACGCGTATTGTTATAAACTATTGATATTAATTGTATGAATCTTGTAAAAATGTTGCTAAGCCATTATTTTTATCGAATTTTTTTTAAAATATCTGAATTCCAGTTTCAACCAATCATAAACGTAAACATAAAGAGAAGTTCAACGAAAAATAGAAATTAATTATAGATAGGTAGACAGACAGACAGATAGAATTATACACAAACAGACAGACAAAAGAAAATAAATCAATAACTACGATGGGAAGAAATTGGAAGTAACCGTTGTTCACTAGAACAGGAAAATGAATAAATTCTACTTAGTTTTTCATATGCTTACAGAGTACAAAAAAAATAATTATTTATTTAATCATTCATTCACAGAAAATTAGTAATCTCATAGATTTTGGGGAGAAAAAAAAAGGTTATTTATTTTCGATAATCTTAGTGTAGATAAAGGTTGGACAGGGGTGGAGTGAGGAAAAAAAACACTTATGTATACAACTTCCTAAGTAAACAAACACACACACACATATATATATGCATAGAAATATACTAAAAAATTGTGTTTACTCATCGCATGAATCAAGTTTATGTATGTGACAAAAATAGTTTAGTTATATCCACCGTCCATTATAAAAATTATATACCTCACAGAGAAAATAGTCCCTGACTTGCCTGGAGTTGTCTTTCGTAAAAATCTTAAATATATGCATAAATATATTTCTTTCATATTAGCTGACTGTTTATTTATCATGCTGAATAAAATTTATTTTTTAAAAGATGATAAAAAGTGAAGTTGTTTTTTAATTTTCATGGCTTTATAACAGATTGCAGAACTATCGATACATCATATTATTAGTCTATATGGGGTTCTATTCACACTAATGGTTTTTTCTGAATCTTTCACATAACCATATATACTTCATTACTAAATTAGTTGTCCTTAACAAAGTTCTTTTATTAAATTCCCGGAAGAGTTACGGAGATGACATTATGAAAGAACAATAGTTGTCGTTGCATACATACGAATAATTCATGAATAAAAGCCGTTATTATTGAGATCATGAACCGATCAATGCTGGACCACCTTTTAAGACCTGGAAGCACTGGATGGTCGTTTCGTTCTAGTATGAGACTCCTCAGCAGTGCGCACCCACGATCCCACACGCGGGACTCCGACAAAGGATCTTCGCTTTAACACAAATGCCTAACCTCTGGACCACTGAGCCGTCATCCAATGGTGTTAATGTGCAACTTCATACAATCCACGATATTGCGCGACCTACTGAATAAAAACTCAACAATTTCCACAACTCTATACCAATAAAAGTCGTTATCCATTTTTGCATTCTTAATTCACCGACTCGTTTATTACTTGTTGAACCAATTATAAAATAATTTCTTGGTCATTTTATCGTGAACAATAAAATCGAGACAAAAAATAATTGATTGACGTGTTATTTGAAGTTGACACTTAAAAAAGTGAGTGCTTCTACATTATGAACTGACTTTAACCAGATATCCATGAAAAACCTGGAAAGCTGTGGATAGTTATTCTATCCTAGGATAGAACTTTTCAAAACTCCTCCCATCCTAAAAACAATGATAATAATAATCTATTACTTAATGACAGCTGGTTTACGGAAGTAATCCAGAAGCCATAACTGAGATATAAAGCTCAACCTTATTGGGTGCGAGGTAATTTTTCCCTAATACAAATGGGTAACTGTCTCGGAATATTGTATATTGACTGAAGTTGAATATGCGAACCATAAAAATATCACAGCTCAGGGATTTCTAAATGTTGAGCGTTTGTGAAGAGGCCTAAAGGTTGTGGGTTCGGTACTTATTTGTTTGTTTGAACACATAAACATTAGTAAAAAGGGGAGCCAAATACATATGCTCCACTTAACAACAATGCAGTTGTGAAGAGATAAAGAATAGGAGGTGAGTATAATAAAAGAGCAAAAATGAACAGAAATTGGGGTATGAAAGTGAAATAATAGTAATAATAATAGTAATAATAAAAGAAAGTTACAACAGGATCGCCGCTCGTTTCTATTCTGAGTCGTGTCTGATAAAGTCTCTATCCACTGTGTTGCACCATCTCTAGAACCTCAACCAGGGAGTCGTGAAGGACCAATAGTAGCCAGTCCTGTACAGCTTTTTCTTTCATACCACAACACCATGTCGAACATTGACCACCTCTCCGCTTTTTCCAACCAGTCCCAGAGTCGGCAAATAATGCACGACGTGGAATTCTCTTGGATGACATTCATAGAACATGTCTAAGCCACTGAAGTTGATGTTTCAAGATAGTGACACCAACTGAGTTGTCGTCGCTGTGCCCGAATACACGATGCCGAACCTCTGCATTACTAACATGGTGTTACCACTGGATGTCAGCAATCCTTCGGAGACAACGATGATCGAAATCGGAGATTCATCTAACATCACCAACTCGGAGAGGCCAGGTTTCACAAACATAAAGCAAAACTGCTCTCGCGTTGTAGATCCGACCATTTACAACCAGACTAACATCACGAAGGTACCAAAGGTGGCCCGGATTAGCATAAACTGCTCTGGCTTTCATTATACGTGCATCAATCTCATCACTCACACCATCACCAGCACTTATCCAGCTACCTAGATACACGAACCTCTCGACTACTTCTATCTGCTCATTACCCAGGGTGAGTACAAGATGAGGGTCCTGCCAATCTTGTAAAAGAACTTTGCACTTGGAAGGTGCAAAACACAGACCATGTGTACAGACACAAATCGCCAACTGATTAAGCGCAGATTGCATGGCTTGGGTATCATCGCACAGTAACACAATATTATCCGTATACTCAAGGTCGGAAAGTCTTTCTCCAGAACATCGTCGATAGCAAGGTTGAAGAGGAATGGTGAGATTAGGCATTTCCGCCTAACCCCACTGCTTGAATGGAACAGCAGAAATAGGCGGTTGTATTTCCTGAGTCTGTCTGGGGTGTTAGTATATACAACTTTCAAAATGTTAACAAAATTTCCAGAAACACCTTTCTTCAATAGACAATCCTAGAGAACAGTCCTGTCCAACGAATCGAAGGCATCCTTAATGTCAAGAAATACTACAATTGTTGGCCTATGATAAGTATGATGGTGTTCTAAGATTTGGCGGACGGTGGGAATATGACCAATACATCATCGACGGAAACGAAAATCACCCTGCTTTTCACGAGTCAACCCTTCTCGGGTTCGGTACCTGGTGGGATCGTAAATCTCCATACAGAGTAAAAGCACTTAACCTCCTTAGATTTTTAATGTTTTTGATGAATAATTCCAGTCTGCGATGTAAGCTGTTTCTCAAATGTTTCCATCCTAGTAACGTACGTTTGTAAAGACAATCCCTTATATTTGTCTACATTTCAGAAACTTTCAATCCAAGAAGCTGATATTGAATAAAACCTAAATAATCTAAGGTTATACTGTTCGATAATGATAATCAGTAATCCATTTATCCAATTACGGAAACAAGTAATTATTTGAGTAAGTTGATGATAGTCAGTTTTTCGTAATAATTACAGTGACAATTATCATAACGGTGACCTAATTTTGACAATAATTATTAGGAGCACATATGTATTCGTGTCTTTATTTGAATTTGTGCGAACATACACAAATACCGATGAACATATACGTACATTTTTCTATATTCGTTCATGTATAATTCAATATGTTTGAAGAGCTACAATGTTTAATCTTCAGATGACCTGACCTAGTGGTATTATTAGTGAGAAATCAATATAATATATTTATTAGTTATTTTTTCCAACCACGAAAATCAAAAACTAGTGAACAATCCCAAAATGTTGACTTGGCTGAAAAAAAGTAACCGGAAAAATGAAAAAAAGTGTTCAACATATGACATTCAATTCATTTTACAATGACGTTTTTTCCTTGTTGCATTCACTTATTGATGAATATTTTTAAGCCTGAAAGAGATGTGACTGAACAGTTAAAAGAAAGATAAAATGATGATTGTTAGGATTCCATGTATACTTTACTAATCTGACACCAAAATCGAAAATAGAATTAGTGACTATGTATGTAAATTTCAGTTTTTCATTATCAGTTGCAGTGAACTACTATATCAAACCAACTTGCTTAATATTAAAATGTAAATTTGATCCACAGTGATTGTTCGGTACACAAGGCTGAACAATAGGTCAGTAGCTATTGTAAAGTGATTGATTTTTTCCAGTTACGTTCATGGAAAATTGAAAAGCATTGTGGATCAATCATTAACAAACAGTAGGTGTAAATTCATTTAGTATTGCTTGTTTGAATCTTCCCATTGATGTTTTTAGGACTGCAACTGGTCAGTCTCTAATTGGCATATGTGCATACTGTGCGTATTGCCTCAATATAGCCTCAATATAGGACGAAACGCGCGTCCTGGATTCCACTGCTAGCCACTATCCATCTCTCCTTAAACAGTAGGTGTATTATTAAAATAAGAATCTGTGATCAGTTAGTCAGTTTTGTTTATAGTCATTTCATTTTAAAACATCCAGTAAAAACCTAAATAGCGTTGGACAGTTGCTTAGTGCTAATCTAGAATTGATCACTAGCACTAAATACTAGTTGTAAAAAATATCAAACTGAAGACCTATAGTTAACATTTTACTGAGATACCCATTCAATGTCATCAGTATACATTGGGTTGACTTAAAGTTTGACTAGCTCCATATTATATAGATTTTCACCGGAACTTTAGGAAATCATTATAAGAAGCCGTGACCAGAGGGCTTGACTATCATGAGTATAAGGCATTCATCCACCGAAGACAATAGAAGATGGTTCGTAATATCATGAATTAATTAACGTCAGAAATATAAGCCATCGGATAACGACTCAATAGTTTGAAGGTCATGGTCTAACCACAAGCTACAATGGTTCTGAGTCTGATCCCGGGTGAGATAGTGGATAAGTTCTGCTGAGGTATCCTGCAATGGGATAGATCAGCCGTCCAATAGTTCCTGGTTGTCTAAGATCGGTCCTTGATATAAAATCTGAAGATAATATGAAATCAAGCTATGAATGGACACTAGACTATTAGTATTATTTGTTACGCTGTTATTTTTTTGAACTGAAGCACTCAGACTTGTGTCGCAGAAAATATCTCCCAGACTGATTTAGATAAACTGACTTCTCATGAACCAAGATGAACCGTTTTTGTGAAGTATTTACACGTTATATAAATTAAACGTTTATTAACAGAACTGAAACATTTATCTTTTTTTGGGAAAGCCTATATTTGGAGTTGTCAGCATAAACAGCTAATAACACTACATTGTGTATTATCACATACTGTTTAGTTTGAGTGCATTTACATTATTATTATTATGAACTAAAGAAACTTGATAGACATATTGCAATTAAAAAATCCTCCTAGATTAGTTTCTAAATTATTTACATTGAGCACAATACTTAGAGGTTTCACTCTTGGGTTTAAAATACAACATTTAGTGGAAAACTTTGAACAGGAACTGAGCTAGTTGGGAATGAAGAAAATTACACACTGATAATCTGAAAAAATAATTTTTACTCTTTATCGCAAAATTACTAATGTTGTTAAATCTTAAGTTGGTCACAACAGTAGCATGTTCTATTTCACTAGAATTCAGAGATACAAATAGATAAACCAAAATAAAACCTTACATATCAACGTATTTTGTATTCGAACAATTATGTCGTAAAACACCGAAGAAGGTTGAATGAAATGCAATAATAAGCATCCAAGATCTGGTTGAATGTAAACAACTGAAGCCCTTATTCTGTTGTAATCCAGTTTTTTTGTTTTCAGTGAATTATCTAGTAAGAACGCCACTGAAAACCTGGAAGCAGTGTGGTCTAAGATCGCTTCATGATTTTAACTATGGAAATTCTGCTACCTCCACAAACCCAACTATATGAAAAATTATTCACCTCTAACTTTTCAACTACACTATCATCCTGATAACAAACATTACCATAAACAACTGAGACTAATATAGAACGGTTTCATACACCATACATAGTTAAATCTCAATCTGACTAGCATTGTGATTACAGAACATAAGTACCACAGGTCCTAGTCACCGTAGTCAATTATGTTTTATGGTCTCATTTATTGAATTATACAATATCACAACAAATATGACTTATTTGCAAAGTACATAAGCGCTTTTTTATTTACATCTAAAGTGGGTTTAAATTAGTTTCTGTCACTTTTACTCAGTCAGTCAGTTATAAGTAACGTCAAATTTGACATACATGTGTATCGATCCAAGTTATCATGTGGTATCAGCATAGGAAATGAAGTTATCAAAATAAACACCACAGTAATAGGAATAGTAACTGCATCAATGTTAGTAGAAAATAGTAAATATAAAGAATATGGTTAGAGAGGAAAGAACGAATTTACGGAATGAAAAATAGTGGAATTTCGAAACTCAGAATCTAAAGGAAGATAAAAATTGAAGGCATCTATGACATAATGATCCATTCTGAGCTGTTACCTAACGTCTCTAAACATTGGTAAGGATAGTTATGAGGACACCAACCAAGTAGCCTGTACCCACCAACGTGAGACAATTCACCTGTCAATGACGTCATGGACTGATGTCACATTCGGGTTTGACCATTTCTGCCTTTCTTCTAACATACTAATACTCCAGCCGTCATCTCTCACCTATGTAGGCGGTGATAAGACATACGTAATACATGTCCTAACTACCTTTGTCCATGAAGATTCCCTACATTATTACATAAATTACCATCTTCACCTAGTACTAGTGTTTAAAGTAAAGAAAGGAGATAGAAAATATCTATACTCAATAATTTCTTAGTAGCTTACTAATTTCGTCTCAGTATTCTGGCTTCTGTTAGCTATTTTAACACTATTTAGCTTTCAAAAGTCAGTCTACACATAAGCACTCCATATACTAATGATATTTCTAAGACATTTTTAAAACATATCTCACTTCTTATTAAAAACATTTAAATGACACAATTTTAATGAGAAAATTGTTGACAATGCCGTATTTTAAGTATTATTTTAGATAGATTAACTACTTGCTGAATAATGGATTAGATTTTGAAGAAGTACTATCAAGTATAACAACGTTTTTAATAAACTAGATATGATAAAAATTGTAAAACAGTTGGATGTGTGTAACAATGTAACCCTAGGACATTGTAATAAGGTCCCGGTTCAAGCCCGCAGTTCAGGATCGTGGATGCGCACTGCTGAGAAGTCCCATACTAGGATGAGACGGCCGTCCGGTGCTTCCGGATTTTCATTGGTGGTCTAGCTTAGATCGACTCGTGAATTCAACTGTGAAAATACTACAATCTCTACAAATCCCCATACTGAAAAACATTCAATACAAAACCTTTTATAATTCAGTAATACAGTTAAATATGTGTAAGAGGATAGTTTTCTGGAACAAATCAGGTTTACTTTCCTAGATTCGTTAACTTTGGAGAAACGTGTAGTGAAGGTCATGTTTCATCTTCAATTGTCTATAGTATAAACTTCAGTCAGAGGTGTAAATAATTGAAATTTGTCAAATGTTACATAAAAAACTAAAAGATGTACTAAGATACTATTTGAGCAATCGAGAATATGTAAATTTGATCCGCAGTTATATCTGTACATAGTATAATATCAAATAGGAGAATATGATAAACAAATGAGGTTCGTAATTGAAAAAAATGGATGGATGAAATGCTAATCTATAGTTAAACAGCTTTTTACAGAATAGGATTTTTTAAACATCGTGTAACGTAAATCAAACTGAATCACATTACTAATACTTAGTAAAGGTTTAACAATTATTACAATCATGGTTTTATAGTTGCAAGGTAAGCTATTTAAATTATAAGTTTGCATTGATGGAATTAATAGCTCTTCTATCCTTATTATAGTAAAAATACAGTAGGGAAGGATACAGATAAGTTGAAAGTTCCAGCTATTCGAAATGAACATGACTTGATATAACTAAAACACATTCCCGTTATAATGTTGTTAATATTAAAATACTCGTGCTGTACAGTGGTATTTTTCGTTAGAAAACTTGATTTAAGCTTAACTGATTCGGAGTAAAGTTAGAGTATTTCAATTAACTACTTTATAGTGTTTGAAATTTTATTACAAAGTGACATTTCACTGATATGAAACATTGAAGTTGTCTACATGCTGGACATTTGAGAACATACAGACATCTATAATTTTCCACATAATAAACCTTATTCGACGAGTTACTAAACACTGCAGTTGCAAACAGTTTCATTTAGTTATACATAATACTTAATGCTTTCATGGTCAGTTTTTCAAGAAAATGTAGGAGGAATGCAACTTGTAGAGACAGTTTCAAAGGTTTCTATATCGGGTACGTGGATTTCTTTGAATTTACAATGGGGTTAGGGGAATATTTTTCTCATAGTTTGGAAACAAACTTTAAATAAATCAATCCATTTACAAGGGAATGTGTTAAAACTGTTAACCTCGGAGTGATATGGTTTGTATATTTTAAAAAAAAAGAACACAAATAAACTTACTATCAATTGACAGTGCTTAGAGCGTTACTTCCATCTACACGGCATATGCCTAAATTCCTGAAAACAGTAGATAAATATGATCTGATTTAGAGAGCCTAACATAGACGTTATGACTATTATTAGTATGTTGATTGTGTATGTATGCTAATTCGCGTGACTATCAATGATTGGGGAAAGAATAAAGAATAGGGAGCTAGACAATTTAACCTTTGTTTAGTTGGATAAATTTTTTTCATCATGAATCGGTCGTATTCTGTTGGTCTGGTAATGGCAAGAGGGTTAGAGGAAAAGTTTGACGATAGGTGTGTGTATATGTATGCATATATATTTATATATGCCTCGTATGTATAAGGGGCGAGTCATCTAACTGCTATAAACCACTTAGTATATCTCATATAGTCTAACCTTCATTAAATAGGAATAATATATTTGTAAAATCTCAGCGAATGAATTTTTAAATTAAATCCAACGTTTCGCCTGGCAATCTGGTCCAAGCTTTTTCAAGGAATTATAATCAAACATCAAAATTATCAAATAATAATAATTTTGATGATAATTTTGATGTTTGATTATAATTCCTTGAAAAAGCTTGGACCAGATTGCCAGGCGAAACGTTGGATTTAATTTAAAAATTCATTCGCTGAGATTTTACAAATATATTATTCCTATTTAATGTCTTACTTCAACTCGGCGCTCAAATACTGTGAAACTATTCGTTCTAATTTAGACGAGAGTTCTTATATAG